TATATATATATATATATATATATATATATATATATATACCATAAAATAATATTCTTTTTTATTATTTTAATTTATTTTAATTTAATTTATTTACAAAATATTTCCCATTTAATATTTTTATAATATATAATATATATAAATGTAAAATATAATATAAAATATATTTCATGAAACTATGATTTTCATAAATCGTGTGACGTATAAAGAATTAAGCAATGCACATAATCTGCATATGTACTTACGTCCAACCATTCACTAAGGTCATTCAGTTTCCTATATGATTCATTTTACTGTTGGAGGATATGATTTTGCTATCAATACTTACCATGAAATACTTTCAACATTTTAAAAATAGGATCATAGCCTGATCAAAGAAATCGATTCATGTTTTCTTTTTTTTCTTGGTGCTGATGCAGTTGAAAACATTAACACACGCGATGCAAACAGCTAAGGCGAATGCGGCAAACGCGCAGGCTGCTGCGACCGGGGCGCAAAAAAGTTTACGAGAAAAAGAAGAATTGGTAGATGCGGCGAAAAGGCGGGTTGAAGAATTGTCAAGTCAGCTGAAGAATGCTAGACAAGAGCTTGCTAACACGAATCGTGCGGCTGCTAGGGCAAGCGCTGCTGCCAGCGAAGCGAAAGCCAACGCTAGTAGGAACAAAAGACGACTGGAGAACATTCGAAAGATGAGGACCATGAAAAAAAGGTAGATAACAATTTTCTTGCTTTTCAAGATCGATATTTGTGTAAACAATATCCAACATAAAATCATTCCACTAGAATATTTGCCACTATTCATGCCATTATTCTATAAAAAGAATAAAAATTGAATGATTCGAATGGCATACATAGTTTTTTTTTTATAGATGAATATATAAAAGTCATATGAAGAATTAATTTTTGAAATGGAACTATTCGATTTTTATTATACTAATAGGTATAGCTATAGTTATTTTCTATAGAAAATTACTAAGCCATTTATATTGAAAAATCTTTAATTTAGGAGATATTTTTATTTAAAATTTGTAATGTAATGTAAAATTTACCATATGAAATATGAAAAATACGCAAAAAAATATAATTCAAAAATATATATTCAATAGTTAAAATTTTTCTTAAAAATTTCATCAATTTTTTATCATAAAATTTTGATCAAATTTTTATCATAAATAGTTTAACACTTTTTTGTAGGAAATAAGAAAATACATTCATAAATGCAATAAAATTGTATGATTCTATTTAAAAAATTAAAATTGTTTCTCATATAATATCTATACCTATAAAAAATAAAAACTAACTATTTGTGCTTCCTTAATGAAATCAATTATTCAATTAAAATAATTCAATTTTTATTTTTTTGTATTATTAGCATGGGATAGCAGTAAATCGATTTAAGTATTTATTAAATTTGTATTAATACTATGATGATTTTATATATTCAAGTAATAAAAAAAATATGAAATAATATATTTATAATTGATCTCAAAAATACTCAATTATATTTAATAAATATTATAATATAATTTATTCTACAATTATAATTTAATTGTTTAAAAGAAAAACATAGAATATATGATGAAAAATCATATAATGAAAACTATATATGTAGAAAACAACACTTTTGGGATCAATTGTAAATCTACATATTATGATTCTTTTTTTGATCATAAATATAAATTAAAATATATGGATATAAAAAATATATATTCTATATTTGCACATTATTATTTTTTAAAATGTAATATACATTTTTATATCAGAAGATATTGATATAGTAAAATTATTAAAATATTTTATTATTTCTATTTATATAATATTATAAATAATTTACATATTTTTAAAATATATTTCATATATAGAAATAAATTTCATAAAAATTAAAATCTTAATAGTTTTAGAGAATTTAACTAATTAATTACGAGATATATGCAATTGTTACGAAAATATTTATTAATATTTTCTATCAAATCATCATTCATTGTATTTATTATAGTATTTATACACTAATCAATTATTAGAAGAATTATAAGAATTTCATATTATGAAAACGAAGTGAAAATATGATTAAAGAATGGGCTATGTAAAGGCTATGTACAAATATTTTATAAGTATATTATATTATATTATATATTTACATTATTATAATTATAATAATTATATAATTATAATAATATAATAATAAATCGTTGTTTTTTAATATATTTTATAAATTAATTATATTTTTTCATTTGCAGATGCATACATACTTAAAAAGGAACTGATGAAGTAATGACTCTGAAAAGCTTATAATAATATTACATCGATTAATTAGATATAAATTTATGCTAAAATATAATATTAGAAGTAAATAGCAAACTTATATCTTTATATTTTCCAACTTTAACAACATAAAATAACATATCAATAGAATAGAAGAAATAATCAACTCTTACTGCAACGATTTATTTTTATAAAAACAATTTATAAATACGTAATAACGAAATTGTAATAATGAAATATTTTTCCTGAAAATACTTTTTCCTCAAAATTAATCTTGATCTATATAATTTTCAATATTATTACCTTTCATAAACTCTTTTTTTTTTATCATGACATTATGGTCATTACATTTATGGTCATATTAAAAAATCAATAAAAATTCTTTTATTTTATTTAGATAATTTTTTATTTAACATACATTTCGTGTATTAATGTAACATTCATAATTTGCTACTCCTTAATATAAATTAAATTTATTAACTGTAAAATATTTTTGATTTGAAAATTGATTATCAAAATTTCGAATTATGTGTAAAGCATCAGTAATCAAAATTAAATATGAAGACTTCAGAAATAAAAGAAATTTTAATTCTATATTATGAAGTTTTTATTATCGAATATCTTGAAATGCAATATTATAAATTCTATATATAATAATATATCATTACCTCAAGCTTTTCCCAAACTCCTTTTGGATATCTCACGGCAGTCTATTACGTCAATGATCTTTTATCGTATATCGTTTTTAGTCACGATTCCTGACATTTACATTGAAATCGTGATTCATTTACACAAACTTACGTACAGTCACGCATCAGCGAACTAGATCCTTTCTAGTGCAATGACGTATTTGTACAGTGCTCGAATTGAATTCAGTGATGGAATGAATATCCTTTGATAGAATTTGTTACATAATAAAAATTTTTTAAATACTGCAATAAATAATGTGCCATTACTTATCATTTGCAATTTTCTTTAAAAAAATTATTTCACGTATAATTTTTCGCTAATAACCCAATAATAGTCAATATTAAATCCTTTCAGAGAAGAAAAGAGGTAAATGATTATATATTTTACAATAATATACAATACATTCATTATTTATTGTACATATAAATAAATGAATATTTCTTTCTTCATGTATCTATAATAGTACATGCCACATGATCAAAATTTTAATTTTATAATTATTAACAATAAAATAATATTTTAATTATTTTTTATTATTATTATTATATAAAACAATACTTCAATTATTTTTCAATTAAATTCAAGTAATAAAAATAATAAAATAATAAAATCTATAATTTATTAAAAATTTAAATTTATATGTACAATATTGATATTTAAAAATATGATTACGATATACGATTCAATTATTCGCAATGTAATGTAAAGTTTATTGAGATTTATTAAGAATATTAATATTAGAATTTTTTGTAATATCATTATTTTTCAATATAATCATGTTAATACACTTAATCCATCACAATCCACACTTAATCCATATTTGCTACATAAATTTTTTTATTCCTTTAAAAAGAAATGTTTTCTATTGAGAAGTAAACCATATATATCGCTTCCTTCAATTAATCTATAACATACATGATGCTTATATAATCATTTTTAAATTTATCAATCTATTTATATATGCAAAAACTACATTAAATGAAAACATTAATCTATACTATACTTTTAATCTATACTCTACTAAATTTTTTTATATTTTTTTTATATTTTAATTTTTGATGTATCTTTATCTCGATAAACCAAAGAGAATTAAGTTAACATTTGTTGAAACAAATATTACAGCCGTAATAAATAAAGATCGACAAATGCTAATATATTTAATCTTAATATAAAAAATAAAAAATATGATATATATAAAAAAAATATTACTACATTATGAATAATTGTTACATCACTCATGGATATTTGCTTTATTTCGATTAATTAAAAATTAACAATATTTTTATCATAATACTTAATAGTTAATAAAAAAATTAATAAAAAAAGAATAAAATAAAATATAAATAAATAAAATATAATTTTAATTATTATAATAATTTATTGCATCATTTATATATATATCAAATATTCATCTAATAATAATATACTATAACTAAAAATATATTTTTCCACTAAATGTTTTCATACATCTTTCAAACAATCAATTTTTACAAAATCAATAATTGTATGGGCATGAATAATAATAAGTAATAAATAAAATTTAAAAAATGCAAGATTATAAAAATTATCCCAACAAATTTATTTTGATGTTATTATATAAACAAGCTAGTTATATGAATATGAATCTTTTGACAAACTCATAGAAATGGAATTTTATTATTTTTAAAATAAATAATTATTATCTTATTTAAATAAATAATTAATATATTTCTATCTAAATCTAAAAAAATTCTTAACATTGAGATTATGAAGTTATCGATTTAGATATAGAATGACTCAAATATTATTCTTTAAGATTAAAAAAATTTATAACAAATTATATATCATCTTATTCTGTTTAAATTGTAAAATATAAATGAAAAATGATTCTTTTGGTAAAAATAATTAAATTATTTATATCGAGTTTTTTTAAAATCTAAATCTAATCTAAAAAAAAAAAGTCATAACATTCGTGTACTAAATATATCTATTATAAATGCAAAGAAACTAAAGCATTATGCAAAAAGTGGTAAGTATATATAAGCATTATGTACATATATAAATTTTTACAATCTAAGAAAAAGTTAAAATATATACTAAAATATATTATAAAATAAATATATACACAATTCAACTGCATCATCATTATTTAAAATGATCTTCATGTTTTAAATTTTCAAATAATTTTATGTAAAATATAACCTTTAAAGATTCGAGTAATTATATTATATTATATAGTATTATATTTGTAAAAGAATGGTTAAGTGGAACATGAAAAATATCAAAAGGATTTTGTTAACTAAGAATAGAAATGTAATAAATATAGAATGAAAAAGTTAATAGATATATAGTGAGCTACTATAAAAGTTGATACAAAATCATTTATCAAACAATCAAATTCAAAATTTAATTATATTTAATTATAAAAATATAATAAAATAGTTTTGAAAAAAATATACAATTATATTTTATTTAAAAAATTTAATAGTTATAGTTAAAGAATGCAAAATCAAGAATATATTTAATAATAACAAATTACTCTTAAAATTAATAAATTTCATAAATGATATTTTCTTGTAAATAACTATATTAAATTAATAAAATATTAATAAAAATGATAACTTTAAATTAAAAAGTTAATAAATTTAATCAACTATAAATTTTTTCATAGTCATCAATAAATTATCAATAGATCAATAAATTAATATATAAAAAATATATAAAGCTAATCACAAAAATAATCGTATATATCATAGAGAAGAAATTATTTTTTCCAAAAATTTTAATTTTATTATAGTTCGTGAAAGAAAGTTTGTAATATGTTCGTGTATATAAAACATAAAAGATTATATATGGAATTTTGTTGATAAGACAAAAATCAATTTCTGAAAATTTAGCATTTTCTAATTTTAAAACAACAAACAATTTCATCTGATATATTTTTCATAATAGAATAGAATTGTGTTTTTTTATTAGATTAAACATTTTGTAGTTTAAAACTTTGCTCTATCTCTTATCTAAAATAAATATATATTAAAAATAAAAAAGAATTTAGAATAAAAAAATAAAAGATTAAATTTTTCTAATATAAATAATTGTGATTGATTAAAATATAAAATATTAAAAATTATAAAATTTAAATATTTTATATTAAATTATATATTATTAATTATTATATTAAATATTATTTATTTATATTTTATATTAATGATATTCCGATATTCATCATAAATTAAAAAGAAAAGTTCTAAAGAAATCTATTTATGTTATTATCGATATTAGTGAACGTGATCTTACCTATTGAGATATTGAAAGATAGCACAGATCACACAAACCAAGATTTTGAAATAAAATTTAAAATACATTTATATAAAAATGATTGAATAAAATAGAATAAATATATATAATATATAAGCAAAACATCAAATTTCTTTTCGAAAAAAATGATACGATATATATATATATATTGAAACTTTTTTAACTTTTAAAGTTAGACCAGCAATCAAGTAATAATCTGTATAAAAAGAAAAAACAATCTTTAAATAAACACATAAAATGTATAATTAATTTAATTAATTGATTAAATTAAAATAAAACAATCAAACATAAATTCTATTTTATAATAGAAAATTATTACACAAGTTAGCTGAAACTGTAACTGCCAAATGAATAAAAAACGAATAATTCAATTGTCGAAAGATTATTAATTATAATAAATGAATAATTGAATAGTAATGTACAAATGATAAATAATATATTACTGTAGAGAGAAATTTATATTACGCTACAAAGAAATCACTCACATAAAAAATGGAAAATATAAAAAAAAAGGAATTTCTAATCATTATGAATACGAATAGCAAAATGATGTGTTATGTTACATTATCGAATCGCAAATTAGGAAAACAAGAGATACACGACACTGGCAATAAATCAAAACATGTCAAGCGTGACAAAAATGCGAATCCTTAATTTCTTCGAAATATTACTTAATATATTATAAAAAAAGAGAAAAATTTGTAAATATTATATAAAGGATAAATTTAAAAAAGTAATTTGTAATATATTACTAATATAATTCATAAAATTGAGTTTGTTCATTCTATTTATATACGAATAAAAACACTATAGAAATTTATTCTAAGCAAATCTATTTTTGTCAAAAGAAATAAAATATCAATAGCATTAGTTATGCATTAGAATGGTATGTATATATTATATCGTTTTTCTTCGAACTATTCCGAAAGTCGAATAATTTGCTTAAATAGAAATCAAAACCATAAAACAAAGATATAAAAAATTTTATAAAAATAAAATAACGAAATCAAATCTCACCTCAACAATCTCAATAATGAAGTACGAAATATCCTATAATCTCAATAGTTAAATACATACGA